AAAGCCATACCTCAGCGTACTCTCAGACAAGAAACATACCCAGCGTAAAGCTATAGATCAGTCCTCTCCAATACGAGGGTGCGCCCCCTGTAGGGAGGGGTGTGAGAAAGTTTCGGTTGGTGGGGGGGGGGGTGTTGATTAGGGAGGTTTTAAATTAAGTCTATGTGTTCTTGTAATAATCTGGATTTTCCAGCTTCAGCTGTCATGAAAACATAACAGCGTTGCCACACAAAATTACCAGTTCTTTGTCATTATTTCTTTATTTTATTTGATTGATACTTTGATTTGTGTGGATTTTTGTCTCCAAGTTCTTCTTAGAAATGCTTGGGATTTTTTTTTTTTTTTTTTTTTTGCACTTCCCTTTCCAATCATATTTTATTGTGTTCGAAGCTTGGGAGCATTCTCCATATACTCAAGAAGCTGTCACTTGAAAACAAAAAATAATTATTGAGACCACAACCCTAGATACAGCTAAAGGTCACAGATTGAACCAGAGGAAGGGTCTTGAATGGTGCAAGCCGAAGATGCATTCAGACATGTGTGCAAGCGTGATACTATTGGATGAGTTGAAGAGAGCATCAACGTGTCCGAACAACAAAAAGATTTTTGTAGTTCTAATTACACTAGGACTGGAATGCAGGTACTGGCCTGCTGAAGTTTAGCTGATTCGTAATAATCCCCCCTTCTCCCCCCGCCCCCGCCCATTTCAAAGTTATCTATACAGATGGCTCTGTGTTGAGAGGCAGAAGAAGTCCATGGGGATTCCTAGCAAAAGTTAATGGACGTCATTTAATGCGACAAAGCCTGGCATATGATACCACAAAATCAAGCTAAAGAATGGAGCTGGAGGCAGTCACAATAGTCTTCCGCTAGCTGGAGAACCAGCTGCACACACATGAAATTAATCCAGTGAACTGTGACTAAAAAGCTTAACGAAATAGGGAAGCAGAACAACGTGCACAACACAAAACAAATCGATGTTTCGGCCGGGCCCTTTATCGACATGAACTGAACTACACAACAATAAAAAAAAAAGGGAAAGTACTCCAACCAAATTAGAGTCACATGATAAACTATTTAAGAGAGAGGGAGAGAGAGAGAGAGAGAGAGAGAGAGAGAGAGAGAGAGAGAGAGAGAGAGAGAGGGGGGGGTGAAAGAAATAAAATAAAATAAAAGGAAGGAAGACTCGAAAAATACTCGTTAAAGTAATAGTGATAATGTATAATAATAGTAGGAATAAAAGAGAAGTAGAAATGCAGCTGTTAATGATCAATAAATGGTACTGATAAGAGATAAATTTAAGTAACAATATGAAATAACAAAATATTACTGCTTTTCGTCCTTCTTAGGACGTTATTTTTTGTTATTTGAAGCCCCACTCTGGCTTTTGCCAGGGGCCGCAATATAGGCAGGTCATCATTATGGCCAAATGTCTGAACGCGGTTTCTGGGACCTCTCCACGGTGATCCTCATCCGCATGGTGGCACTTTGTGTCATCGGGTGTTTATCGCTTGTGTGATGTCCTGGTGGGGTAAAAAATCCAATCCAATAACAAAATAAGCATAAAATAATACAATTAAAAAAAAATTTAAAAATCAAAATAATGTGGCAGTAGTAAAACTATTTAGATGAAGATTTGCCTGACACTGATGCCTCCTGGACTAAGAAAACCTAGACTGTGGATTAGGCGAATTTCCAAAGCAAGGCGCGTGGTATGATCGTCAGAACAAGATTTGTATCGCTGTGACAGATATATCATCTTTGCCTGTGTGGTCAAAACTGTTAAAATGGAGAGGGATTGGTTTAAGTGTTTTCTTTTCAATATCAAAGAGTTGTCTTGGAACTGGTCAGCTAGCTTCCTGTCGGCCCACACATGTCGTGATTGTAACCGACTCACACGCATGTTGGGAACGGTGGGAACAGATATGTTCTGTGAAAAGTGTCAAGCATCACTTCAGATGTCAGCCACTGTTGAATGCTTGCTTCAGGTCATGAATATGCATTGTAAAACTAACAGGCAGGCACACTGGCTGGTTTTGAACCACACTGATACATGACAAGACTGACGTTGAGAGGGTCCTTTCTTTGGGAGCGAGTGAAGATGCGGAAGCACAAAAAGATCCTTACAGTCTGAAGAGAATGGTGGGTCCTCACAGTATGAAAAGAATGATGTGACAAGGTAACATGGCCAATACTCGGCACTCAGAAAAAAGTGAAACGGATATACCGTCATTCTGCCACTGCGTGGTTGGTGCAGCCCTGTGAGCTGTGTTTTTCATGTGGAATGCCTTTCATTTCTGCAGGTCTTTTGTCGTGATATTCAATATGGCTGGCAGCCGGTCTACGTGTGAGCTGATGGAATCATTTATATAATAACTTATCGTACCCGAATACTTCCACCAACGACAAACTGCATTTCTGGTGGCGACTGTTGGGTTTGGCGCCTCTAGCAACTGTCAATACATTTTCGGCGTGCTCATATTTCTGGATTGTTCCATGAATGACTGTATTGGTGGGAAATCCTTTACATTGCTACAATCAGTTTGAGAATGTGTCCCTTCCAGGCTGCTACCTAAAGATTTACCCTACCATCTTAAGATTTAAAAATCTTAATCAACAGGGGAGCCCAAACAAGGCAGATCTGAAATACCCCTTTCAACCACAATAAAGTTATATTGGAGCACCCGTAACGGCTACCCAGCAAGGTATATAACCTGAAGTCTGTCTGTTTTGGTAAGGACCTCTCCATGATGCGATTTATTATTTTTAGCACAAATGTTTAATGTTGAATTAAGAGTCGACATCACATCACTCGGGGCATTCCCATAAGCGCTCTGTCTCCATCTTCAGTAGCATGCTCAGAGTTTAAATTCCAGTGGTACCAAAGGCAGTCTGACTGTGTAACCATCTCACCTTTTCTCGAGTGTTTAGCGTCTACCCCATCCCCTGGCAATTCCTCGCAGTAGCATTCTCTTCAGACCATGATGATTCATCTTTGCTTCCGCACCGTTCACTCGCTCCCAAAGGGCCCTTACAACATCTAGCTTGTCATGCATCATTTCATCACCAGGTTGTGTAAAAACCAGCCAGTCTATTTGGCTGTTCATTTCCTAATACACCGGTATGTCACGGAAAAAATATCCAAAAGACGCTAACTACCACGGACCTTTGAAGCAATGCCCGCCACTTCTGACGGAGCATACCGGTCTCCACATTTCTCAACATGCTCTGTAAGTCAGTTACAATCACGGCATGTGTGTACAGCTGATTATCAAGCCAGCGAAAGGCTGCAGTTACTGTCTCTACCTCCATTCTCAAACTATATGTTGTAGTGTCATATACCAGGTTGTGTCGCGCTAAGCGACACCGTTCACTTTTGCCGAGAACCCCTTTAATCTGATCAAGGAAAGATACAAAACCGAAGGAAATGTAAATCAGCGAGCCTCACCATTTAATAAACACAAACTTTGCGGTTATGGAGCCTTCTTCAGCACATAAATAGTGTAGACAATACTACACAAATACACAAATATCTTCGTATCTTCTGCCGGGTCGATGTCAAGACAATAGTATAGCCTTTGTTAGCATGCCTCTCAACATAGAGCCATCTGTATAGATTATCACATCACATGGGTGAGAACTGTCATGAATCAATTGTTGAACTTGTAATTCTACAGAGCCCTCTGGCCAGTCCCTGCACTCACGGTCAAATGTGATCAGAACTACACAGGTCTGACTTCATACCACACGTCTCCTCGCCCAATGTTATCAAACCTGCATACGTGTCTAATTGTGTCTTCAGCTTGCGCTATCCAAGACCTTCCTCTTTTCGGTCACTTACCTTTAGCTCTGCCTAAGGCGGTTCTCAACTTTTGGGTGGCGACCCTTTTAGGGATCGAACGATCCGTTCATAGGGGTCGCCTAAGACCATAGGAAAACACATCTTTAAAAACACATATTCACTAAAGTTAGGAAGTAGCAATGAAGATAATGTTATGATTGGGCGCCACCACAACTTGAAGAATTGAACTGAAGAGTCGCAGCATTAGGATAGTTGAGAACCACTGGGCTAGGGCTTCATGCAAGGGGGAGGGGGAGGGGGGGGGGTTGGGAGGGGTCTTTCTTTTTGAAGCTACTCAGAGATACGACTTTGCTTGCAGCACTTCGAGCCTATCTGTAATAGTCGGCTTGGAAGTATGTATCGCATACATACTACCGGGGTATCTCTTGTTTTCCCAAACACTTTGATATTGTCAGTATTCCATGTCTTCGGGTTTTGCCGGTGTGTTTGGAAACGAGCAGGCAGATAGACTTGCCGGTTCTGCTCCACTTGGTGATGAATTGCTGTATGACACTCTAGATGTTGTGAGTGCCCTTTGGGAGCGAGGGAACAGAACGGAGGCACAAACAGATCATTATGGTCTGTGGAGAATAGCGCTGCGAGAAATGACTAGGGAATATGGCTGACGCTCGACACTCAAGGGAAAGGCAAAACGAATATAAAATTACTGGCTTCATTGGAATAGGAATTCTTTGCCAGCTGGTGAAGATATGGACGAAGCGCTTATAAGGGGTGTCCCGAGTGCTAACTATAGCGATTCTCAATTCAACATACCAAGTGGTTTGGCCATTTCGTTAGAATGCAGCAAGATCAAATACCATCACAAGCACTACATCTCAGAAGATCAGCTACAAGAGCAAAAGGACGACCGCGGAAAACATGGATCGGCAACATTGAAGACACTCGACGTCTTCACGGCATGACAATAGCCAGTGGCAGCCAACGTGCGGCTCTGGATCGCAAATTATTCCTCCCCACGCCGCTTAACGACACAGGTGGTTTATGATGATGAAGTCCATGATGATCTATCACTGACGGGATGGAAAGTTTAGGACTAGAACTTCTCTATCATTTTGATTGGACAAATTATTTATAGAAAGCCAATGAAAACTTGGCTTTCTGATTATTCGGTTGTGAAGTGCGAGCGTCAGGTTACAAAATGGCCGACAAACAAAGTGATTCAGGTTTGATGTTTACTTTTTGTTACCTGAAATGTTATTCTGAATAATATACACAATATTTCAGCGAGTTTAATGCAAGAATAATATGAAGAAACTGTGTTATACTGTTGTGTATATTTTAAAATACTGTGTACACGGTTTTTAAGCACATTTTGTCTGAAGTTAGTTTAGTTCAACAACGGGCAACGTTTATTTTTTTTTAAGTTTGAATAAAAAGAAAGACGTGTGAAACAAATCTGTACCCGAAATAAAACGAAGGCTATCGTTGTATACGATATTGTAATATCCTTCCAACTGTGACGGTCTCATAAGAGAAAACCGTCTCTAGCATCCCTACCTACATCTGACAAATGCTGAGGTTCGTTTATAATCATTTTGTGTTTACATTTTGCGCTATTCTCAAGGTATATATAGGCTAATTTGAAGTTCTGGTTTATAAGTTTACATTAGTTTTTTCTTCTTCTTCTTTTCTTCTTCTTCTTCTTCTTCTTCTGCTTCTTCTTCTTCTTCTTCTTCTTCTTCTTCTTCTTCTTCTTCTTCTTCTTCTTCTTCTTCTTCTTCTTCTTCTTCTTCTTCTTCTTCTTCTTCTTCTTCTTCTTCTTCTTCAGCATTCCGAGCACTTGAGGTTCATTGCTGCAGATATCACCCACCTCCATTCATCTCTCTAGTTGACACTCACTTTCTAGATAGTGACAACAAGTGTTTACAGGTCTGTCTGGACATTATCTCTCCATCGTGTTCTTGGTCTGCCTCATGGTCTATGACCATTCATCTCCCTTGTGAAACCAGTTTTCACTTCTCTGTTATCTAACATTCTTTCAATGTAGCTCAACGATTTAAGTCTATTTGCTCTCATAATGCCAGTGATCAGTGGTGATTTGAACAGAATATGAATTTTGTTGTTGCTTCTCACTCTCCATTCAATGCTGTTTGCATCTTTGATGGGTCCAAAGATTCGTCGCAAGACTTTGTTTTGAAAAACCTGTAGTAAGCTTTATCACTTTCAGTTATGCTCCAAGTTTCAGAGCCATATAAAATGACTGGTCTTATCAAGGTTTTAAATATTTTAATCTTGGTGTTGTGAGGCAGACACTTTGACTTTAGCAGACGTTGAAGGGCATAGTATACTTTATTTCCAGATTGTATTCTAGATTGTATTTCTTCTCTCAGCTTGTTGGAGCAGTTGAAGTTTGCATCCAAGTACTTATACGTTTCGGTTCGTTTGATTTTCATATAACAGACTTGTATGTAGCCGGAGTTTATATCCTTACCCTGTTTGAGATTATCACTAACTGTAAATAAACTTTTTCATTCATCTCTCAGTTTGGTTATGATTTGGTCTTTCTTTTCTTACACTAAACATGGATTTTGTTTTCATTTCTTACAGACCCATGAGTTTTGACAGATGTGAAAGTAAAGTAAAGGACCCTTTTCCACGCTGTTAGGCGTATTGGGAATATAGGGCTAGTCCTTTTTTTTTATAGACCAGTCAGCACTTGGTGGGTGATGTGGTCAGCATCACCCCTGTCACCTTTACTTCCCAGTGACTGTCACATTCTTCACAAATTAAACAGGTCCTTCTGGGCTTACCTCATAAAAACTGCCAGATTCTTTAACAGCTGACCACTCAGCTACTGCTGGTGTAAATTCAGAATTTAAAAAAAATATGTGACGGAAACAATTTCAGATCTCCAGCCACAGAAGAGTGCATTTTTTGGCCTGTACTTATGTTCAGAACATTGTTATCCATAGCCAGTAAAATATGAAATCAGAAAATTCATTGTCTGTTGATGCTAGTGATGTTCTGATAAATTTGCACCTCAATGTACAAACAAAGAAGGTAAACAAAGTAGAAACTTTAGAGTAACCTCCCCTGAATATTCTAATGGTAATTCTGAACATTTGAAAAGAATAGGAGCAGTATGCAAATCAGTATGTAGGGGATGCATAATCGATGCAGACCAAGTGGTTTGGTCAAATTTTAACTTCTCAATCAACACACATAGCGTTGCTTGGGCCTCAGAGAGTTAAAACTATCATTGAATTGTCTCCTCACTGTTGCTGATACACAGTTGTACAAAGGGATAAATGAATGCAAGGAATTATATTTATTAATTTATTAACTACCATTCTATTGATCACTGATCTAAACAAGAATAGTTACTATACAGATTTTAGCCTATTTTCACCTATGATCATTTGACACACAAAAAACACCTCATTTACACAAAAACACACACACAAAATGCATTGATATCACTGGTGGACCGGGCGTATGTTACTGCTACTGACTGACTTTCTACCCCACCAGGACATCACACAAGCGATAAACACCCGATGACACAATGTGCCACCATGTGGGTGAGGATCACCATGGAGAGGTACCAGAAACCGCGTTCAGCCTTTAGGTCATACTTATGGCCAGGCTTTATTGCCGCCCCTGGCAAGAGCCAGAGTAGGGCTTCAAATAATGAAAATTTTGTCCTAAAAAGGATGGGCAGTATGAGGCATACTACTAAACCCGTGTTATTACCAACCAATCAACAGTAGGTAGGTCATCTGATCACACTACTGAAAGCTTTTTTTTCTCCTGACAATTCCCAGGACTTCTGTAACATTTAAAGACAAGTAATTCCTATATGTATCAGTCCATTGCTGCCCCACAATGCATCTCAAAACTCTGATCTGAGTATGTACTTAGCTGTTCTAGTGATAGTTAGCTACAAACTGACAAACAGCTGTTCACCTTCTCTTGATAATAACTACCCACTTGTATTGCTGCCAATCTTTTGCTTTACTTTTCTGTATTAATATCAATAGCAGCAGAAGGTGGAGCATAGTAGCAGTAGTAATAGTTTTCAACTAATAAAACTATTCAGATTTGTTCTTCTTTAGCAGTAAAACAAGATCACAAGAAATACATTATGAAACCAAATACACTTTGACTAGATTAGTTTCTCACATTTGGTATAGCGTTTGTCCACTACTACACACTGTGAACCATTGTATACATTTATAATAATGCGCATTATTTTAGCTCGTATGCCATAGCATAGAGAGTTAGAAAAAGAATTCTTGCTTGCTACATACACCCAGTTTTAACATATGGCTGTGAATCCTGGACAATCGGTAGGCAGGCCAAACAATTTCTAGAGGCCTAAGAGATGTGGTTTTACAGAAGAATGCTTAGAATACCTTGGACAGCCAAAAAGAGCAACCAAGAGGTTTTGAAAGAGGCGGGAGCCCGAAGACAACTTATCACAGACATCAGAAGGAGACAGTCATCATTTTTTGGCCATGTTATGAGAAGAGGGAAAATAGAACATTTTGTGACCACTGGAAAGATCTGTGGAAGAAGGGATAGAGGAAGACAACGAGAGAAGATGCTTGACAGTCTTGTTGCATGGCATGGAGGTGTGTCGGCACATAAACTGATACATGCTGCAGGAGATCGCAGATTATGGAGAGGCATGATCACCCACGCGAGTCGGCAAGGCACCTGATGATGATGATGACGTAGCATTCAGAAATTCACTATAGTAAAATTCTGTGTAAGCTGTCAAAGGCCTCCTTGAAATCAATAAAATTCAGTTTGAGAGGTTGTTGCTTCTTAGTGTATTTGTCTAGAATATTTGTCAGTCATCCCTAAAACACATTTCAGCTAATAAGCCGACACAAGCATCATCTGCAGTAATTTCGTGTGTTTTTTTCTTCGCTATATAAAAAGTCATAGCACCATGTGTCCTGGCAACCCCTAAAGCCCCTCAGCTAACAAGCCACCATATTGGATCCTCTGCAAACTTCCATGGATTGAATCTAACAAGGACTGAACTCAGGTGTTCTGCATGAGAGCCCGACATTCTAACTCTTTGACCAGTTGCTCCTCTGACTGTCTAGATTCAATTACAAATTTTGACAACCAAATATAAAATTGCCCAGTAAACTCGCAAAACTGCCAATAAATGCTGGGGTTGGTTTATAATATCTTGTAAAGGATATGCATTGTCATCTTGTAATCTACTTGGGTAAGTGCTATGTGGCTATCCTCCGAATAACGGTCCTAAATTATCGAGGCGGAAAATATACCCTAACAGGGCCTCAGTCACGTGTCACTTGCGCACTTCTGTCGTCTTAAATTGCGCACTTCCGGTGACTTCCGCCACCGCCGTGGATTGGGGTTAAACTAGATGGCTGGGACTCATGAGCAGCAGCTACCGCATCTCCTGCAGCTTCCTTAACTTTATTTGCTCGTGGGTCCTAGCCATCTAGTTTAGCCCCAACCTACACCGTGTGAGCGGCGTGGGTGATACTCTCAGGGGTGGCAGTGTAGTCCCCGGAAGTGCACAATTGACACGTGACTGAGGCCCTGTTAGGGCCGATAATTTAGGCCTGTTATTCAGAGGATAGCCTGCTATTTTGTGCATGTATGCTTATTTCAACTGACACTGTCCTATATTTAAAGGAAGTGACTCTGACAGCACAGATGAACCGGTTGTTGGGAATGTGAACAAGTTTGCTGTTGTCCCTCCATGTTATTCTGGCAAACCCAAGAGAGGCCATGTAATTTTTGATGCATGTTTTGAGAGTGGTAAGTGTTTGCAGACTACAAACCAGAAGTTGTGTAATTATTTACTTCAATTTTAAACTGTATTTAAGAAATTAAACTTAGCAGAATACACCACAATTTGGTAAACAAAAAGAAACGTAAACATTTGTATCCTGTTAGGGCAGTGATGCTTAATACTTCTTCTTCTGCATTCATCCGAAGAATTAAATGTGTTCTTCCCATTTACAACAGGGCTGCGATATTTGTGCCTTTTGACCTATACATCCAGCTTTTGCAGGCATCTATTGTCTAGAAAAGTCTTTAGGACTATACTACTAAGAATGTTTTTACAGTGGGCAGTTTTAAAAACTGGCAGACTCTAATAACCATCATTGTCCCCAAGTGGGACACCATTTTTCGTTATTTTGAGGCCCATCACAGCTTTTGTCGGGAGTTGTAATATAACCTAACGGTTGAGCGAGGTTTCTGGGATCTCTCCACTGGTGATCCTCATCGGGCATGGTGACACTTAGTGTCTCTGGGTGTTTATTGCTCTGTGTGATGTCTTGGTGGGGTAAAACTGACTTACTATCTACCACAGACACAAAATACAGAGTCATGCTAGAAGTATCTGTTGTGTTAAAGGCATGAGGATTGGCTTCATTGCATATTTGATCCCATATGGCTCGGTCTGCCTCCACTAAAAGCAGAGGTCAAGACCATTGTATTAAGCCATTTGGGCAGCACATGGTTTCTGCAATACTGCCTAAGTAGTATGCTATGGAGACGAGGAACTTTATCCCTGGCCTCAATTGGTGTCACCATGGACTGATTCTCATGCCACCTTGAAAAACAACAGAACACTATCATACTGAACGACAGAAAGGTGCCACTAGCAACTACAGTGATACTCCGCAAGGATCTTCAAAAACCGGTTTTCGTGAACTGGACAGTCTGTAGCTGGACCCACCATGATTGTCAAAGAATAAGGCATGCGACTTCACCTTGGTGACTTCTATTCTGCTGTGTGTTGATTTCCCTGCTGTGTGTTGATTTCCCTGCTGTGTGTTGATTTCCCTGTTGTGTGTTGATTTCCCTGCTGTGTGTTGATTTCCCTGCTGTGTGTTGATTTCCCTGCTGTGTGTTGATTTCCCTGCTGTGCGTTGATTTCTCTGCTGTGTGTTGATTTCCCTGCTGTGTGTCGATTTCCCTGCTGTGTGTCGATATCCCTGCTGTGTGTCGATTTCCCTGCTGTGTGTCGATTTCCCTGCTGTGTGTCGATTTCCCTGCTGTGTGTCGATTTCCCTGCTGTGTGTCGATTTCCCTGCTGTGTGTCGATTTCCCTGCTATGTGTCGATTTCCCTGCTGTGTGTCGATTTCCCTGCTGTGTGTTGATTTCCCTGCTGTGTGTTGATTTCCCTGCTGTGTGTTGATTTCCAACTGTTCAGTGCTGTATAAGAAACAGCCACTGTTGTTCAGTCACTTCAAGTTTTGAATTGCAGAAGAATGCTAAGAGTCTGCATTGTAGAGACATTGTGCAGACATTGTGCAGACATTGTACAGACATTGTACAGACATTGTACAGACATTGTACAGACATTGTACAGACATTGTACAGACATTGTACAGACATTGTACAGACATTGTACAGACATTTCAGTGAGTAATAATTTTTTTTTAAGAAGAGGAAGTAAGGCTGGCATATGTGATGTTGTACATATCACTCATTGAGTGTCGACTGGTATATAAAAAATATGTTATTCACATAAATATACAGAGCGGGAACCCTTGATGCCGTATAAATATTATTGTCTCCATTGTTGTCTACTGTGTCCTTCTGTCTTTTTACTTCTTTCTATGAGTGGGGATTAATACTTTCTCTGTTTGTTTATTTATTAAATATATATATATATATATATATATATATATATATATATATATATATATATATAAAATGGTCTAGCACTATATACCCGATGTACAACTGGACTTGAAAATGACCTTCAATAAATCATTCCCTTTGTTGAAGATTGGCTGATGTGGGGAAGCTTTAAGTTTCATGACGACATGACACTTGGTGACAATTAATGTGCATACAGCACCTTATGTTTCTTAGCACTTGTCTGAGAAGCCCAGTCATTAAATCCACTACCAACAAAACAAAACAAAATCAGGAGACTGTGCCATAACTGGATCCAGAAATGTGTTCAAAACTGCATTTATTTAATCCTCAATTTTTAAAATATTTTTTATATTTTTTTTATAGGTGTCTGAGAGTTGAAATAGCCACCTCATGCATCATAAATATGTGTTTAATCCTCTGAAGCATTTATAATGTTAAATATAATCCTTGTCTGTACACAGTATGGTGCCTGCTTGGCGAAACATTCCTCATCCTGGATTAACTCCAGTAATGGTATGGATGTCATAATGGGAAAGGGGGGTGGAAAGCTGGGGGAAAGGGGGGGGGGGGGGGGGGGGTTTAAACAAGACTTTGTTTGAAGTGAAGGTAATACCACATTTTTCCAGTCACTAGGAACTCCATGTTGATTTTATTTTACGATGTGTCTCAACATTTCAATTATTAAGCACTCACCAATACCTATTTTGTCAACTAAATCTGTGGGTTGTGTGGACAACATCAAGAGTTTCATCTGTTTAATCATGGATTACATCAAGAGTTTGATCTGTTTAATTTTGGATAACATTCAGTTTGATCTGTTTAATTTTGGACAACATCAAGAGTTTGATCTGTTTAATCATGGATTACATCAAGAGTTTGATCTGTTTAATTTTGGATAACATTCAGTTTGATCTGTTTAATTTTGGACAACATCAAGAGTTCGATCTGTTTAATCATGGATTACATCAAAAGTTTGATCTGTTTAATCATGGATAACATTCAGTTTGATCTGTTTAATTTTGGATAACATCAAGAGTTTGATCTGTTTATCATGTATTACATCAAGAGTTCGATCTGTTTAATTTTGGATAACATCAAGAGTTTGATCTGTTTGATCATGAGTTATATCAAGAGTTTGATCTATTTAATCATGGATAACATCAAGAGTTTGATCTGTTTAATCATGAGTTATATCAAGAGTTTGATCTATTTAATCATGGACAACATCATGAGTTTGATCTGTTTAATCATGAGTTATATCAAGAGTTTGATCTATTTAATCATGGATAACATCATGAGTTTGATCTATTTAATCATGGATAACATCAAGAGTTTGATCTGTTTAATCATGAGTTATATCAAGAGTTTGATCTATTTAATCATGGATAACATCATGAGTTTGATATGTTTAACTCTTTGAGTCCCAAGGGGTTTAGCATCACAGGCCCAGGGGGGTAGTAAATAAAGTCATAACATTGGCGCATCTTTCGTTCATTGGGCTTCTAGGTAGGAAGCCATGAACGTATGATGCGTTCCTTGGGACTCAGAAAGTTAATCATGGATAACATCAAGAGTTTGATCTGTTTAATCATGGATTACATCAAGAGTTTGATCTGTTTAATCATGGATTACATCAAGAGTTTGACCTTTTTAACCATGGATAACATCACAAGTTTGATCTTTTTAACCTTGGATAACATCAAGAGTTTGATCTGTTTAACCATGAATTACATCAAGAGTTTGATCTTTTAACAGTGGATTACTTCAAGCGTTTGATCTGTTTAATCATAGATGTATGAATGCAATATGGGTTGGGTGGATTCCATTGGAAATGTTTAACCATTGATGTATATATATATATATATATATATATATATATATATATATATATATATATATATATATATATATATATATATATATATATATATATATATATATATATATATATATATATATATATATATATATATAACTACCAGGTAAAGTCCTGGGAAGTAAAAGTGACTGGTGTGATGTTTACCACACCACATCACTCACTGACAGCCGATTGGACCATAAAATATAGGTCTAGCCCTATATCACCTTTTAACTCATAGCCTATTTAAAAATTTACCTATGCAGGTAACCTGGGCCGGGTGGATTACATCACAGACACAGAGTATGACCTGTTTATCCGACCGGACACCTGCAATCCAAGGTTTAGAGTGTGGTTTAATTTCACAGTGGAGAATGTCCGGATGGACCAGGTGGGTCTCACATCTGTGTCTGTTGGGGTTATACGAGGGGCTTCAGCATAAAACCTTAAAAATGTAATGAGTGTCAGAACACTGCTCCTCTTTGGTGCATGTCAGAAGTGGCACAGCCATCTTTGAACTGTTGTTATGATGTCACCATGTTCGTCTGCACCATGGTGTCCTGTGTTTAACACTACTGACATCCTCCAATGAACGTAAAATTGTGACAACAGAGATGAAATGCCTTAGAAGAGCTGCAGGAGTTTCAAGAAAAGACAGAATACGAAATCATGAAATCAGACAAATGCTAGGAATAAAGCCAGTCTTACAGGTCATCAAAGAACAACAAATGAAGTGGTTTGGACACCTAACAAAAATGCCCTGGTACTATCTGCCACAGCGAGCCACACTGAAACGTTACAACTTGCATAGAGCGAGTGGAAGACCTCGGAAAATATGGAGTGATGGCATTGAGAACAGCCTTACAGAAATGACATCAGTCTTAATAGTGCTCTTGACAGAGCTAATCAACGTACATTACATCTCCACCCGACACTTCGATGAAATACAAGGTGGAAGAGAAGAAGAAGAAGACATCCTTAACAACAGTATTGACAGGTTACTGTGATTTTCTTTTGTAATTTTAGGCTGTTTTACTGTTTTTATTTTTATATTTCCTAATCTGCGGCAGGGCTGGATTTTTTTTGATTTTTTAATATACTGGCTTCCATATTCTTCTTCTTCTTCTTCGCGTTCACCAGCTGTACACTCTGGTGGAAAGTTCTGGCTGTTTGTCCACTTCTGAACTGCAGTCCTGCTCCAGAACCTGAGTGTTGCGTGTGCATCAGTTTTACAGATCTGATTCACTTGAATGCAGACTGTTGATTCCTTGCCTCTCAGGCAGAGGCACTCCGACTTCAAAGGAAGCTCCCCAATTAGTCAACTCTTACGACATGCTTTTGGGTAGGCAGTAGGTCTATTCTTGTTTTCCCCACGATGGGGCCCCGGAACCCACACGGGGAGCTTTCATATTGACCCAGGCTGAAAAAAATAGCAAGTAACATGCTCTGGGCTTTCTATTGTGTGTAGATGTAATCCTGTTGTGGCAGTGATGATGAAGGTGATTGGGTCTGTTTTTGGTACGCAGTTCCTGCACTTTTTTATTTTTAATATTTTTTTTTTTAAATTAAACTTTTTAAATTTTTTATTTATTACTTTAATAGACACTTTTTGGAGAATGCAGTATTTACCACAAAGTGTCTGTTACAGTAATGCTGAAAAATAAAGTGCCACTACAAAGTGTCTAGAAAAGGTACTTTTGTAAAGAAATTTTATGTTGGCACTTTTTGTTTTTTAGAGAAAAGGCCAATGGTGATAATGATGATGATGGTCGTGGTGGTGATGGTAATGATTACTTTAGCTCGTTCAACATCTCATGAACACACTTGCAATCTGTTAGATCGAAACGTTTTTTTGCATGCAGACTTGGAATATCCAAGACGCAAAAATAATAGTATTCTCTAGTCCATAGAGTCAGCGTCTGTGGCTTAGGCGCTTTGAACACGCTTTGTAATACTGGGTTCGATCCCAGCTGCAGGCCCTGCACCTTGCGTTGGTTTTGACGGTGGTATCGAGAAGCCGACCGTCCAGAAAGCCATGGTAAACTACTGGATGTAAATTTGCCTAGAAAAACCACAAGAGCCAAAAAATGCTGGGGTTGGTTCTGCAACGTCCTGTAAAGGATACGCAACTAACTAGTCCATAGATGCTCAGGATGCTGAATACCAGCCAATTCCTTTTATCTTTTGTAACCATTGTAAAATAATTGGAGTGAAGTTTGAGATTTTACAGTAAAAATCTGAATTTCCGGTTCTCTTTTTTGTCAGAGGCGTGTCTTCATAATATATTGAAAGGTGAAGTAAATTTATTTGTTGTCATTTATGTTGAACTGAGTTGAGTTGAGCTGAGTCAAGAAAGACATGCACTTGGTGTATTCCCATATGCCCTCCGTCCCCATCTTCAGCAGCCAGCGCAGAGTTCCAATGCTAATGGTACCAGACGCAGTCTCATTATGGGCCTATCTTGCCATTCCTCTGAGTGTAGTGTACCGGCCAGGCCCTCTGGTCACACCCAGGTGTATCATTCTCTCCAGGCCATGATAATCTATTTTCTCTTCTGACTTCATTACTTGTTCCCAAAGGGCCTTGACCACATGTGTCTTGTCATGTATCAACTCACCCACCCTGTGGTGCAGTTCCAGCCAGTCTGTCTGCTTGTTCAATTGTAAACATGTTCCCAATATGCAATGGTTAGTATTCCCCTTCAGTCACCATTAGACCCCACAGTGTATCTTAACTGCTTGTATTATGGCTGACATATTTGGATATGGAGATGTATTTGTTGCATTTGTAGATTTGCCTAACGGGTTGATGATATTCAACCACTCATCGAAAAAGTGGTTTTATCATTCCAAATCTGACGATCCCAAAAGGTTGATAATTGTTGCTGGCTAAACAAATTGAAATCCATCTCGGTGTGAGTACTCGTCTTCCTGTCGAAGCACATGTTCAACACATTATTTCCAGAAACAAATGTCTATTTTTGAGAAGGACTTGAAATGTCAATATTGCATTGTGATTTCAATGTTAATTTCAGTTTTGGAGAGAAACGTTGATTTGTCTCTTAGATTGTTAAGATCTCACGTCTAATGACATCTACATCAAAGTCGTTAACTTTCCTTTTCCTTCCTTGCTTGACATGAGCGTACTCTGAATCCTGTCTAATCCAACGGTAAAATGATGCTCTATCCAGACCAAGCACCAATCGTGTTTGTTTCTCTTGGTCATGAATATCACAATACAAATGACCCATCTTAGATTCACTGAGGAAGTGCTGGTACAGTAAAACGGTAATCTTCTGCATAGTTATAAATTAGCACCTCTTATTTTTATTTTTTTTTATTTTTTTTTTGAAATTGGTGTCTATGTCAGCCTTTATAAGCTAGCTTTATGACACAATAACTCAACACTAATTTGTGAATGCACCTTTGACCAAACAACCTTGACTGACGTCTTATTTTGGCACGAGGTCTGAAAGGTATGCCTGTCAGTATGAAAAGTTTACGTGCCCTGCATGTCTGATGCGGGATTATTTCCTACTTTTCTAGAGGGTGATCTTCAATATAGTCAACTTCAGCAAGACAAAATCTCTGTACAGAGATGGCATGACTCCAATGGTGAAGTCCACAAGCAGACCTAAATGGTATGTATTCATTACACCTGCCTTGCATTTCTCGTGTATGACTGGGTTGAAAGCAGTGGCATCGACACACAGAAAAGGGTCAGTTCCACCACAATCTCCCCAAACAAACTAAGTGACTTTCCATTCATAAAATCTTTTTTTAGACTGGTCTGCTGTCCTGGGGGTTACGGGTTGCCGCTATGTTTTTCTTTCCGGTTTGTCTTGCATTTACGGTATTTTCCCAAGAAAGAGAATGCCTGTGACATAGGTTGCAGCTCTCTCTAGGGGGTTGTGTGTTAGACCCAGTTTCTAAATGTTTTTGTAGTGTTAAAAGTGCCGGCGTGCTTAAATATACAACATGCGATATTCACAGTATTACCAAACACCCCCGTAGCAGTGTGCAAAGGTCGGGTGACTGAAGGCCGACTAATCAGAAGTGAGCTAATGTGTAAATGGCCAGTCCATGGGGAGACTTTCGTGCAACTAACCAAGAAAATATTAGGAGCTCGTAAAGAGGGCCGGGCGAGTCGTAGTACCCTTACAAATGTTTTTAGAAACATTTTCAGCTATAGTGGCTGCTGCTTGGAAGTCTGATATACATGGCTGGAGTGTTAATTCAGATAGATGAAGCTCTGCAATAACATTAATTCGATTTTTTTTTATTAGGGTTTTAGTTTTTAACTGACATGCTAGGAATTTTTTTTTTTTTTTTGCCCTACAAATAAGAAGTAAAAAAAAAAAAAGAAAGAAAGAAAGAAACGGTCTGATAGTTCTATAACTCAAACATGGATATCATAGTTTTTACTGAATGTCTTTACATGCTGACTAATGTTGAATATTATTTGCACCTGTTTGATTCTCGTTCTTGAGATGTTAATCTTACAGACTACAAACCTGGAAGAGAAAAACCACTAATCCTATTCCATTACATGATCAGGCAGACACTTTTTACAATTCACCTGGACTTTTCTGGGTCCACCTGTGGCCCGCAGCGCATAGTTTGAAGAACACTGCTGTACATTGCATTGTTCTTCCATAGACAGGGATATATTACACAAGATGTTTTTCATCCCATAGATTGCTGCTTCCTGTGGGTAATTACGTTTGTTGTCTCTGCTACTGATTCCATTGCTGTATTGTCACTGAACATAAATAACTGAATGCCTCTACTTGTGCTTGTGTGTATTAGTATTATTGCATTTGCTATCGCTGTACACTGTGGCTGGCACTGTTCTTGTTCAACACCGCAACATTTTATTTTAAAAAGCTTGGTGGGGCTTTCTCTCTCTCTCTCTCTCTCTCTCTCTCTCTCTCTCTCTCTCTCTCTCTCTCTCTCTCTCTCTCTCTCTCTCTCTCTCTCCTAAAATACAATTACAGTACAAAAGATTAAGATTTAGAAGGGTGGAATGGTAAACGGGCCTGCGTACCCAATTAGTAAGCCTTTGATAATAAAAATTGTTCGTTTGTTCTCTCTCTCTCTCTATCTTTCTCTCTCTGTGTCTGTCTGTCTGTCTCTCTCTCTCTTTCTCTCTCTCTGTCTGTCTGTCTGTCTCTCTCTCTCTCTCTCTCTCTCTCTCTCTCTCTCTCTCTCTCTCTCTCGCTTATATCTCAGTATCCTTTTTATTTCCGTCTTGCGTCTGCCCTTACAATTGCGGCTGAGATGTTGTGTTGCTGTTTACAGCTAGGTTTGTTGTTACTGTCATTTGTCTGCTTGATCAGTACCAAACGGTTGTTATAGGACCCTGTTCTACGCCCTTACGTTTATTGGGCATATGACGGGAGACCTGTATTTTATAGACCAGTCGATACTCGGTGGGTGATGTGGTCACCCATCGGTATTTCTCGGTACTGACTAAGGAGCGACTAAATAACGAGCTGACTAAAAAAACGAGCTAACTAAATAACGAGCTGACTAAAAAACGAGCCGACTAAACAACGAGCCATGTGACACAATAGCTTGCGCGCATTTATTTTCGTCTATTTCCCCTGCGATGGTTAAAATATTTAATGTCTTCATAATTTTGAAAAAAAAAATGGCTGGGGAGGGGGGGGGGGGGGGAGAAGGAACAAACAAATGTTAAAGAATCACGAATCTGACTCGCAGATTGGTCTTAAGTTTGGGTTTCCAAAACACTCAACTTTAAATCGCAACTGAGAGAGAGAGAGAGAGAGAGAGAGAGAGAGAGAAAGAGAGAGAGAGAGCAGGAGCATGTTATCATCCTCTAGGTGTGGATATATGTATATATATATATATATATATATATATATATATATATATATATATATATATATATATATATGTAATGGTATCTCCCAGCTTTCATACCTGATTTATCTGTTATAAATCTGATAACAAACTGAATGTACAAAGAACAAAACCTGGTGAGAGATCGCGTCTCTGCATGACGTTTGAAAACTGTACAGGTGAACGAACCTGGCCCGTCGTATATGTTGCCACTTCATATTTTTTTGTATAACCCTAAAATCTTGGAATGGACGGGGAATCTTTTGAAACTAACATTGAGCACTCAGTCTTAAAATGGTTCATCATTATTATTATCATTATCTTCTTTTTTAGACAGCAGAAGCCGTGGGGACGAATAGTTAGCAGTGCAGTGCTAGATTTCGTGTGATTTTTCATTCATCTTTAATATCGTCAATCCATTTTCTTCTTGGGCGTTTTGTGTGTACATGTTTTTCTGCATGTGTGTGTGTGGTACTCTGGTATTATATTATCTTAGGTGTAATGCCTGTGTCGGCAACTCGTGTGGCTGTATTCTGACGAGATGCCCAAACCATTTCGTCTTCTGATTGTTAATTTCTTGATGTATTTCAATCAGTTTCTTGCTTCCGTCCTTCCTTGTTTTGCGGAGAAAAAAAATCGTCACGTTCAACCAGTATCCTTGAAGAGGGAGCTTTAGTTATAATTATGAATAGGCTATTTGCGCCATACAATATGGCATAACATTGCTCGCCACCAAATAGCCCTGAAAAGGACTTTAAGAGTTGATGCGATCAAAGGAGACAGACACAAATACTGCCCGGACCGACGGCGAAGTCGTCTACTGGCCAGCCAGTAGGCGACCCGGTCGCCGATACAGTGTGTCCTTGCTAAAATTTGTGAGCGAACTTTTTTTTTCAACGCGTCACAGAGTGGGCATGCAAGCCTGTCTTCCAAACACCCGTAAATTCAATTGTGAGTTTACAGGACGTTGCAGAACCAACCCCAACAGCCTCTGGCCGTTGTGTGGTTTTTCTAGGCAAATTTACGTCAATGCCCACTGGACGGTCGGCTTTCTTGATACCACTGTCGAAACCAACGCAAGGCGCATGGCCCGCAGCTGGGATCGATCCCGGCTATTACGAAGCGGTCGCGTCGACTTAGCCACAGAGCCGACAAATTGTGAGTTAATTAGAGATTTTTCTCAAGTATCTCTGTTGTTTGTATCGGGGGAAAAAAAAGGGGGGGGGGGGGAGATAAAGGTTGCAGTCTACTGAAGTGTTTGTCTTCCCCTTATTAGATTCATAAATAGGTAAAGCATTGTTTTTTTCTCGGCTTAATGTGTGGGAACGGCCATGGTGTGGCAGCAAGACGCTCGCCTGTCGATCCGCATGTTTTGGGGTTAAAACCTCATTGGGCCGGATTGTTTTTTTTTTGTTGTTCAGACATGACCTTGGCGCCTAGGTCTAGGTTAGTTGCGTATCCTTTACTGGGCGTTGCACAACCAACACCAGCAGCCCCTGGCTGTTGTGTGGTTTCTCTTGGCAAATTTACGTCCAGTAGTTTGCCATTGCTTCCTGGACGGTGCGCCCCCTGATACCACTGTCGAAACCAACGCAAGGCGCATGGCCTGTAGCTGGGATCGACCCGGCACCCCTGCATTACGAAGCGTTCGCATCGACTTAGCCACAGAGCCGACAGCGCCTAGGTCTACACCGCCTTAAAACGAGTACCAGGGAAAGTCCCGGGAAGGAAAGGCGTTCGGCGTGATGTTGACCATATCATCTATTGTGAGTCTAGCCTCGTGTGGCTGTCTCATCACCGACCTGTGAAGGAACGTTTTATATAGTATCTGTCTGTGTTTCTATATTCGTTTGTTTGTTTTAGTATCCAGAAGCCATGAATTGTTAACTCTTAGGCTCGGTATTATGGATTCGCCACCTTTCGGCCTTGATTCCATTGTAAATACCGTAAATCTGGAAGAAATGTGGCTTTTCTGCCTACCTACGGGAGTGAACTCGGACCACAAGGAGTTCGTCACCCGGTCACCGCGCAATCCGGTTTAGCCAACTACGCTAGAGAGCCAGGCTTATATATTCTTAAAATATGTCCCCCCAAAAATTAACTGACGGATTCTGTTTTTAAGCTGTAGCGCCTGGAGCGTACAGGGCTAGACTTATTTAGTTGAGTTGAGTCAAGAATTGACATCACAGCACTCGGGGTATTCCCATGCGTGCTCCGTCCTCATTTTGAGCAGCCAGCGCAGAGTTCCAATACTGATGGTACCGGTCACAACCTGGATATATGCCCGTCTCCTGTATGTGCCGTGAGCCGGCCAGATTCTCTGGTTACATCCAGGTACCTTATTCTCTCCAGGCCATAATAATCTTGTTTTTCTACTGATTCCGTTGCTTGTTCCCACATTGTCTTGACCACATCTGCCTTGTCATGCGTCAATTCTTCACCAAATGGTGCAGATCTAGCCAACCTGTCTGCCTGTTCATTACCCACCATTCCGGCATGGCCTAGAGAAAAAATCCAAAGTATGCTCACTACCCCTGACCTTCCCAGCGAAGCTTGCCACTCTGCTCGAAACATCCCTGTCTTTACCTTCCTCAGCGTGCTTTCACAGTCTGTTACGATTGTGACATGTGTATGCATCTTGTTCTCTAGCCACTGGAGAACTGCAGTTACCGCCTCCACCTCCATTCTCTTGCTAGCTGTTGTGGTGTCTATGCAAGGCTATCTTGCACTAAAGATTTTCCACTGGCTTTCGCTACGAACCCGTTGCTAGACATATGCTTATAGACCAATGGACACTGTTCGGACAATGTAGTCAAAATCAAGCCTGCTGGTTTTACCGCCCAGGACACTGCCTAGTGCCCATTTAGCTGGAATATTCACTGTTTATAACAATAAAAATTGTTTGAGTCCTTATACAGCTCCATTGATCTATTATTCTCGTATATATTTATTGTATTATGTTGTTTGCGGTGCCTGTGGCATAGGCGTTGCGTCCGACTCGTAATTCCAACGTACCGCGATCGAAACCCACTGCTGGCTGCGTGTGTTTTTATCATGTTATGGGACGTCGCAGGTCGACCCAGCCTAGAATGGGTACCAGGATGGCTGTCCTTGGGAAGTAAAGATGGCTGGCGGCGTAATGCTGGCCACTTTATCTAGCTATTGCTGATTGGTCTGTAACAGTATGGGATGCTCTTCCCATATGTCCGATGCCCCTGGGGCGTAAAAAGGGATCTTATTTTTGTTATGTTATTAAGGCCATATCTTCTTCTTCTTCTTTCGTTTGCCTGAGATAAGTTGTCTATATCAGCAATTTTGTCGCTTGTATAAATTTCACTGTTGTTGTTAATTCATTCAGTGGTCCATAGAGTTTACGTTCCACTATTGTTCTTTCTGGCCAAAAGGTTTGCCTTGATGTGTCAAATTCGGTGCAGTCCTGGCGTACATGCTCTGCTGTCTGGGGCACATTTCCACAGGTGCACATGGCTGATACACCTATCTTGAATTTTGTGTACATGTGGTTACGTAATCGGTTGTGCCCTGTTCTGAGGCAGAGGATAATGACTTGTTTTGATCTGTCCAAAATAAAATAGTCGTCTTGTGCTGGGGCTGGTGGTTTCCTGATTGATTTAATGATTCTTTTCTTTTGGTGGTATGTGACTGGTACATCCGGCTGCACTTTTGTCGCACCTTCTCCTGCCAGTTGATCAGCTTTCTCATTTCCAAGCACTCCACAGTATGATGGTATCCACTGCATAACAACTCTTTGCTGAAGGCTAAGTTGTTTCAGCAGTGTTTGCAATTCTGGTAGTTTCCTAGACTGGAGTGCTTCAAGTACTGATTTTGCATCTGTCTAGGCCATATGATATGTGTTGGTGCTTTTATATTCTGAAAACTACATCTCCGTCGCATATTTTCCAGTGTGAGTTACGGGGCCCCATTGTGGGGAAAACAAGAATAGACCCACCACCTCCCGAAGAAGCATGTCGTAAAGGTCAACTAATTTGGAGCTTCCTGCAAAGTCGGAGTGTATCTGCTTGAGAGGTAAGGAACAAGCAGTCTGCATAAAATAAACTAAATCTGTAAACGGATGTGCACGCACACTCAAGTTCTGGAGCAAGACTAAAGTCCAGAAGAGGATGAACAACCAGAAAATTCTGCTGGAGTTTACAGCTATGAACTCGAAGAAGAAGAAAAAGATCCCATACTTATGTCACTATGCCTGCCAAAATCTCAATTGTTCTATTCCATTGTGCACGCAGGGTTCGGATACCAGCCAAATATGTTTACTACTACCGCTGCCCCGACCACGGCAAGAACTATGTAATGTCGTTTGCCTTTATATTTGACCGTGAGGACGATGTCTATCAGTTTGCCTATTGTTACCCATACTCTTACACAAAGTTGCAGACTTATCTTGACAATCTGGAGAAACGCAATTACGACTTTTTCACACGAGAGCTGCTGTCTTTGTCTGTGGTAAGTACAAGAACTGCATCTTTAAAAAAAAAAAACTGTCTTCAGTGCCCGTATTTACTAATTTTATGGCTGGTGTAAAACACGGGTTGATGAGCTTGGGGTTTTAAAGCCACATGCAGGTCGCCGAGAAGTTTATTAAGTACTGGAACAAGACTAATATGGCCCCCTCGCCTTCATATGGATATATAAATCAATCATGTCATATCTGTACATTTATTAATGACATTGAAACATACTTGCAAATATATTTAAACAGAGAACATTTACTTCTGTAAAAAGGTAAAATAAAACAATCATTTATCCCCTTCATGGTCCCCTTTGAGCTTCACGGGGCCCTCCTTGATCTCACTGGGTCCCCCTATAAGTTCTGTGAGCCACCATTGAGCTCCCAGATCAATTTGAGCTCACTGAGCCTTCTTTGAGCTCCACAGACCCCCTTTGAGCTCCATGGGCCACCATTGAGCTCCATGGACCCCCTTTGAGCTCCACAGACCCCCTTTGAGCTCCATGGACCCCTTTGAGCTCAATGGACCCCCTTTGGGCCCCATGGACCCCCTTTGAGCTCCACAGACCCTTTTGAGCTCACTGAGCCTTCTCTGAGTTCCACTAACCCCCTTTGAGCTCCATGGGCCCCCTTTGAACTCCACGGGTCCCCTTTACAGACCCCTTTGAGCTCACTGAGCGTTCTTTGAGCTCCACTAACACCCTTTGAGCTATTCGGACCCCCTTTGAGCTCCATGGACCCCCTTTGAGCTTCCCAGACCTCCTTTGAACTCCATGGATCCCCTTTGAGCTCCACTAACCCCCTTTGAGCTCCATGGACCCCCTTTGAGCTACATGAACCCCCTTTAAACTCCACGGACCCCCTTTAAGCTCCATGGACCCCCTTTGAGCTCCATGGACCCCCTTTGAGCTCCATGGACCCCCCTTTGAGCTCCATGGACCCCCTTTGAGCTCCACAGATCCCCTTTGAGCTCCATGGAACCCCTTTGAGCTCCATGGAACCCCTTTGAGCTCCACGGGCCCGCTTTGAGCTCAGTAGGCCCCGGAACAATGTATCAGCTTCACTCCCCTCTCCTTATTAGCCAAAATGTCAGTATTTCTTCCCTGTGTGCTTTGTTCTATGGAGAGAAGAAACTACAACTTATTATGAAAGAAACTTCTTAACGTAGCAGTCACACTAGCTCTACATGGCCTATGGTCCTTATTATTCCCTATAGGATTGTAAAATACTGTTGTGTGCAAATATCGAAAGATGTCAACCAACATGTCTTAGAAAGCTACTACCACATGAACATTTGGCCCAGTAACGTGACCTACTAAAATAAAACGCCATCATCTGCAACAGATATGACATGAAGTACATCAATGAAATGGGGTTATGACTAGCTGACAGTTTCAGGCAACATGTGCAGAACCATCCCTCAAACCAGCGCTGATGCATTTCAGGTTTTAGTGTCAGTGATTTGTCTTTATCATAGGGGTTACAGCAATCAAGGCCAACCACTCCAGTCACAGTCTGTATATCTGTCTAATGGACCTAACGTCCAACATGGCTTTGTCTAATATTTTTTGAGTTATGACTCTTTCCTGCCACTTGTTTTTCTGGCTAGTATCTATTTCCTGTACTCACACGTGTTTCAAGGCTTAATCTGGCCAGACGGACATATGAATTTATCTTGTACAGACCTCATTTAAGTGATTTTTCTGTACTCTTTTGTTGTTTGCTGTTGTTGTAGGTGTAACATTGATTGTTCACGTCATGTGCTAAAACTGAATGATTTGCCATCCTTTTTAGGATGAAATTTTTCGTTATTTGAAGCCCCACCCTGGCTCTTACCAGGGGCCGCAATATAGCCAGGCCATAAATATGGCCTAATGGCAGTACGCCGTTTCTGGGACCTCTCCACTGTGATCCTCATCCACATGGTGGCACATTGTGGCATCGGGTGTTTATCGCTTGTGTGATGTCTTGGTGGGGTAGAAAGTCAGCCAGTCAGTCATGTGCTAATGAAAGTTTCTAGCTGCAGTGTTCACTTGTCGTTCCTGACTGTGATAATATGAAGTTGTCTAGCTTTAATTCTTGTCTGCTTTTTGTATCTTTTCATAATAAAAATAAAACAAAAACATTGGTAGCTTATTAAATTGTTCCTTGTTATTATACAGCAACAGCGGAGGCTTGATCTTTTAACAATTGCCAGTCCAGATCTGCGTGCTACAGACAGTGAGAAACTCAAGACTGTTCTCATCACAGCAAGGGTACATCCCGGAGAGACTCCTTCCTCCTTTGTTTGCCAAGGTAAGGTCTAGTTTAATGACATAGTTAAATCAGTACATTTACATCACCTTCTCTTTTCTCTAGTGACCCTGTCTTTAATGCTGCCAGAACACCAGTTCCTACCGATGAACTGGGCTATTTTACGGAATTCTTCTTTAGTTTAATATTTTATGAAATTTTGTTGCTGAGCTGGTATGCCAGTATATCTGTCTGTCTGTTGGCCACTATATTTATCATTCAGCTGGCAGATATATTTCTCTCTCATTTGGCCTTGTTTATTCTTTTTTGTCTGTTTGGCCAATATATCTGTATTTTCGTTGGCCAGCATATCATTCTGTCTGTTGGCCAATAAATCTTTCTTTCAGTTGGCTAGCATGTATTTCTGTCAGCTGGCCAATAAACTTTTTTGTTGGCCAAAATATCTTTCAGTTGATCCTGTGTGTATTTAGGTATGTATGCAAGTATTTATGTACGTGTGTAAGTATGTGAGTGGATGTATGGATGTGTGTATGTATGCATGTGTGTGTGTGTGTATGTATGTATGTATGTATGTATGTATGCATGTATGTCTATGTATGTAGGTGTGTTTTTATGTTTGTGTATGTATGATGTGTGTTGATGTATGAATGGATGTACGCATGTGGGTGTATGTATGTGTGCGTATATGTATGTAGGTGCCTGTATGTATGTATTACATATGTCTGTATATGAATGTGCATGTATGAGAATGTATGTTTGTAAATGGAGCTGTGTAAGAATGTGGGTGTATGTGTGTGTCTATGTAGTGGATGTACGTATGTGTGTGTGGATGATGTGGATGTATGTAGGTATATATAGCTGTGCAAGTATGTGGGTGTATGTGTGTGTATGTATGTATGCATCTATATCTGTATGTATGCATGTTGGTGGATGTATGTATGCATATGTAGCTGTGTAAGTATGTGGGTGTATGTGTGTGTATTTAGGTATTATGCAAGTATGTATGTATTGTGTAAGTATGTGAGTGTATATGTGTGATTGTGGGCTTATGTGGGTGTCTGTATATGTGATTGTATGAGTGTGTATGCATGCATGCATGTGTAGGTGTGTGTTTTTATATATGAGTGTGTATGTATGAGAATGTAAGAGTATGTGTATGTGTGTGTGTGTTTTAGTGTAAAAGATTGTGTATTCATTATGTGTGTATGCAATATTCTATAATGTATATTTCTTTATTATATACATAACATGCATTATTGATAACAGGCATTTGTACTCTGAAAGATGAGTGCTTAGAAGGGCCGAATGTCAGATGGGCCTGCGTGCCCAATTTGTAACCCTTTGAAAATAAAATGTGTTAGTTCGTTCCTTTCTTTCTGTCGGTCAATGTATCTTTCTTTCAGTTGGCAAGTATATCTTTCTTTCCATTGGCCCGTATATCCTTCTTTCATTTGGCCAGTATATGTTTCTTTCAGTGCCTTATATATATATAAACTCATTCAAATTAACTCAATCAGTACTGAGCAACTCACCATGTGGTTTATCAGCAGTCCCACAGAAGATATTTTTGTAAACTCCTTATGCCCCACTCAGCTGTTATATCAACCCTCCTAAGCCACCTAACCAAATTGTTGCTGTAGTTTTTCAGCAGGGTTATTATTTCAAATTATTTAGACCCAGTGTTTCTTAATTTTAATTAATTACTACTATTCACTCAATCAGTTTTTGTGTGTCTTCACTATGACAGTTAACTGCAACCGTTCTCCAACACTCTCTCTACCACTTTCTCTCTTGCCTTTAACTGTTCCCACCAATATGGTTCTAAGAAGTGTTATAGGGTCAAAATATTTTTCTTATCACTCCATGTCTTCTTAGAACCTCTGGCTTAAAAAAAAAAAAATGGAACAGCTACTAATAGAACAATTCATGTCTGTAGTTTAGGCGTTGTGAACACGCTTCGTAATTTCCGAGTGCTGGGTTTGATCTCATCTGTGGCCATTTTGGTAGTAGGCCGCCTTGCATTGGTTCTTTTCTGTTTCTTCTTCTTTGCGTTCACCGGCTGTAAACTCCGGCAGAAAGTTCTGGTTGTTTGTCCACTTCTGGACTCTAGTCCTGTTTTAGAAACTGAGTGTTGCTTGCACATTCGCCTCACAGATCTGACTCATGCAGACTGTTTGTTCCTTGCCTCTCTTGCAGATGTACTCCAGCTTCAAAGTAAGCTCCCATTTAGCTGACTCTTACAACATGCTTTTGGGCAGACAGTGGGTCTATTCTGGTTTTCCCCACAATGGGGCCCCAGAACCCACACGGGTAATTTGTTTTAACAGTAATGTCGAGAGCTGAGTGTTCAGAAAGCAGTGGCAAACTGTCGAGTATAAAATTGGCAAGTGAAACCAGAAAAAGAAAAAAAATGCTGGGTTTGATTTTGCAATGTCCAGTAAAAGATAAGCAATTAACTATCTAATAGAACAAGCTAAAAAAAAGTAACTTATTAGTCCATATATTGGACTATTCTTTAATTATCATGTATCACTGAATAGCTGTAGCGACCACATTATTAAAAGATGTTTGTGTATCCCTGGGCACTTGCAGGTGTCATAGATTTTCTAGTCAGCTCTCACCCCATCGCTAAAATGCTTCGGGACCATCTTGTCTTCAAAATTGTTCCCATGCTCAACCCAGACGGAGTCTACCTTGGTAACTACAGGTGTGTTTGTGTGTATTTTTGTCTATGTTTGTGTGTGTTTTTGTCTATGTTTGTGTGTGTTTTTGTCTATGTTTGTGTGTGTTTTTGTCTATGTTTGTGTGTGTTTTTGTCTATGTTTGTGTGTGTTTTTGTCTATGTTTGTGTGTGTTTTTGTCTATGTTTGTGTGAGCTGGTGATTGAATGAGTGGGTTAGTCGGGAAGTCAGTAACTGATAAAAGGAAGAAGAAGGAAAAGAAGAAGAGGGAAGGTTAAGGAGGAAAGGATTTGCCTTAGAGTCTGTTTTCTTGCTGATACATATTAGAAGTTTAGCCTTCATGTGAAGCACAAAGTCTCATCTGTAAATATTCTCCGTAATCAGCCACTCATGGACAAGTCTACAATGTGCTTGCTGTGAATTTCTGAGGGTTTGTTTTCTATTGAAAGAGAAAAGTAAGATGAAGAAGGAGGAGAAGATGAAGGAAATGTCAGGAAGAAGAAGAAGGAAGAAGATCTGCTCATGCATGAGTAAGACCTGTCATCCCTTGATGGGTGATGTAGTCACCAGCCACCTTTACTTTCCATGACTTTACCTGGTACCAATTTAAGGCTAGACTGACCTGGGAGCCAAGGTCGTGTTTCAGAAAAAAGCCAGCTAAAATGTTGATTTGAACCCATAACCTTCGGATCTGCAGGTGAACACTGTAGCTTCACCACATCAGCTCCTAGTCGACAGTATGGTTAATATGACTTGTCCAAGGGCCTGTACTCCATTGAAATCTGAAAGGATGATGAAAGTGAGGAGAAAAAGATAGAAGAGGAATATACAAATCGGGAGGAAGAGAACGAGATTCTACTGATCAATTTGTAAGTATTTTTACAACACACACTCAGGACTTTATATTAAAAAAAAATTATCTTGTGTTCAGATGTTCCTTGATGGGCTTTGACTTGAACCGCCATTGGCAGGAGCCGTCTCCCTGGGCACACCCCACACTCTACGCTACCAAAAACCTGCTAATGGAGCTTGACCGCAACCAGGTAGGCAGGAGATTTAGACTTTCTGACTTTGTGATGTGTTGATTTTGCTGCTTTGATTTAGCGGCAAGGTAATACAAGAAGAGAACTAATTACCCACACCAGAAGGAGACAATCTACAATCTTTGGCCTTGTCATGAGAAGGAGAAAACTAGATTACTTCGTGACGATGGGAACGTTGGAGGGACAAAGAGGCAAAGGGAGACTGTGAGAAAGAAGTTTGACACCATGACATGGAAGATAATCTGTGTCAGAATTTATTAAAAGTATACGAGACAAAAGTTTGTGGATAGAAAAGACAACACCAACACCACATGGCATGGTTTGGTTTGGTTAGTTGCGTATCCTTTACAGGACGTTGCAGAACCAACCCCAACAGCCCATGGCTGTTGTGTGGTTTTTCTAGGCAATTTACGTCCAGTAGTTTGCCATTGCTTTCTGGACGGTCGGCTTTCTTGATACCACTGTCGAAACCAACGCAAGGCGCATGGCCCGCAGCTGGGATCGAACCCGGCATTACGAAGCGTTCGCATCGACTTAGCCACAGATCCAACACATGGCATGGACTATAAGATATAAAAAAGTAAAATAATCTGTAGACTGGAGTTTGAGTAAAGAGGGGATACAGTCATTGCAGTTTTTGGCTTTCTTAAGAACAAGCAAATCACACACACAGGTTGTGATTATAACAGACTCACTAAGTGTGCTTAGGAAAGTGGAACACCTGTTTTGTTAAATAAATTGCATCCTGAATGCCAGTCCAATAGGACAAATTAGGAAGAAGGAGGAGGGGACAGAGCAGTAGTAGTAGTAGTAAAAGAAGAAGAAGAAGCAGCAGCCTTTTGGGGTAGACTTAGTTAATTTTGTAGAAAAGATAATATTATGAATGAGGTGATAAGAGGAACAAGTTGGCAGAAGCCAATTGTAAATTTCATACAAAGACAACAAATACAATAGTTTGCCCACTTAGAGAGAATACCTTGGGAAGCCCTAGCATAAAATGTTATAAAAGTTAGTTGCATATCTTTTACAGGATGTTGCAGAACTAACCCCAGCATTTTTTTTTTTTTGGCTGTTGTGGTTTGTTAGGCACATTTTATGCTCTGTTGTTTGCCATTGCTCTCTGAATGGTCAGCTGTCAGTACCACTGTAGAAACCATCGTCCGCAGCTAGGATCAAGCCCCAGCATTACGAAGCATATTTGCAACGCCCAAACCACAGATGCTGACATAAAAGGTCATACACATAAGAGGAGAAGGGCACAGTGCAGAAGGTAGACCAAGAAGATGATGGAAGGATAACATCAGAGAAACTCTGCAGCAGATAGTTCATGTAATAATCACTTATAGTAGGCATAGTTGAAACAAAGTTCTTTAGGGATGCACACAGACCATGTAATGGCCGTTTGGAGCAGACAGAGTAAAGTAACAACCTTTACAGATAGACACAGTTGAACAAGCAGACACAAACAATAGATGGCACAATTTATTGCCAGGCGTATTTCGCTGTATCTCATTGGGTGCATACTACAGAAACAATTTAATAAAAAATGCAAATTGTGCAGTCTATTGGTTGTGTTTTCTTTGTTCAAATTCACAACGGGGAAACATTGCTTTGATTTATAATCAGTGCTTAAGAAATAATCTTTTGCGTTCGAGGGGGATAAATTATCAATTGTTAAGTATATAAATATTCAGTATATACTGTTCAAATCCCTAAATGGGTTCCGATACCCCATTATGAGGGACAATAAAGACTAGACCCACTGCTCCTTCTTCCTCCACCCCCCCCCCCCCCCACCCCCCAAACAAGTATGCCGTAAGAGTCAACAAATTATGGATTTCTATTGAAGAATTGTTTTAAAAAACCGGAAAGAAATGCATAGTCATCTGACTGCACGTTTTTATTAGTTGGTGGAAAAGCCCCTACTCCTAAAAATTTTCAGTGGCTTAGGTAGTAAAGAACTATCAATTGATTTCTTGAACCCTAAGGTATTCTTGTGTGCAATTTGAATGATTTCACTCTTTAAATTACAAAGAATTTGACTATCAGAATTATGACAAAATTGTGTTTCTTTCAATAGCTTTGCATTTCTGGTAGTATACTTATCCCTGGAATACCAGTCAAACTAATAATTTTCCTGGAGGGCCCATTCTGTCCGGGACAAAAGTTAGGCCAACTACCCTTTAACAAACATTTCCTAAGAGGTGACTGATAAAGGATGTGCTTAAACTGGATGTTTTCAAGAGTTCCTGGCCACAGCATGAGAACATCACATCCTAGATGAAAGCCAAATCACAACGTGCCAACAGAAAATGAACAAAGAAGAAGAGGAGGAGGAGGAGGAAGATTTAAAAAAAAAATGAAGTAGAAGAAGACGAGGAAAAAGAAACTAATAACTACATGAGACTTCAAGAGTTTCTAAACACTGACATAAACAATATATGTTTTCAAGAGTTCCTTAAACCTGACAAAAGAATATGTTTTCAAGAGTTCCATAAACCTGACATAAAGAATATATGTTTTCAAGAGCTCCATAAACCTGACATAAACAATATATGTTTTCAAAAGTTCCTTAAACCTGACATAAACAATATATGTTTTCAAGAGTTCCTTAAACCTGACATAAACAATATATGTTTTCAAGAGTTCCTTAAACCTGATATAAACAATATATGTTTTCAAGAGTTCCTAAAAAACTGAAATAAACAATATATGTTTTCAAGAGTTTCTAAAAACCTGACATAAACAATATATGTTTTCAAGAGTTCCTTTAACCTGACATAAACAATATATGTTTTCAAGAGTTCCTTTAACCTGACATAAACAATATATGTTTTCAAGAGTTCCTTAAACCTGACATAAACAATATATGTTTTCAAGAGTTCCTTAAACCTGATATAAACAATATATGTTTTCAAGAGTTCCTAAAAAACTGAAATAAACAATATATGTTTTCAAGAGTTTCTAAAAACCTGACATAAACAATATATGTTTTCAAGAGTTCCTTTAACCTGACATAAACAATATATGTTTTCAAGAGTTCCTTAAACCTGACATAAACAATATATGTTTTCAAGAGTTCCTTAAACCTGACAAAAACAATATATGTTTTCAAGAGTTCCTTAAACCTGACATAAACACTATAGGTTTATTAAGAGTTCCTTAAACCTGACATAAACAATATATGTTTTCAAGAGTTCCTTAAACCTGACATAAACAATATATGTTTTCAAGAGTTCCTTAAACCTGATATAAACAATATATGTTTTCAAGAGTTCCTAAAAAACTGAAATAAACAATATATGTTTTCAAGAGTTTCTAAAAACCTGACATAAACAATATATGTTTTCAAGAGTTCCTTTAACCTGACATAAACAATATATGTTTTCAAGAGTTCCTTAAACCTGACATAAACAATATATGTTTTCAAGAGTTCCTTAAACCTGACAAAAACAATATATGTTTTCAAGAGTTCCTTAAACCTGACATAAACACTATAGGTTTATTAAGAGTTCCTTAAACCTGACATAAACAATATATGTTTTCAAGAGTTCCTTAAACCTGACATAAACAATATATGTTTTCAAGTGTTCCTAAAAACCTGACATAAACAATATATGTTTTCAAGAGTTTCTAAAAACCTGACATAAACAATATGTGTCCACAAGAAACATGACATGGACTTCTACATTGACCTGCATGCCCACTCCACCCTGATGAATGGGTTTATGTATGGCAACATCTATGATGACATGGACAGGTACGAGAAGCAGTCAGTGTTCCCTAAGCTGCTCTGTGCTAATGCTGAAGACTTCTCCCTGTCCAACACCAATTTCAACCGGGATGCTGTCAAGGCAGGCACAGGTCGCAGGTGAGTATTACGTTGTCTTGTGCTGCTGCTGCCGCTGCTGCTGCTGCTTCTTCTTATTCTTCTATTTCTAATTTGTTTTCTTCTTCTCCTCCTACTTCTTCTTTTTCTGCTTCTTCTTCTTCCTTATTTTTTTTTTTTGTCCTGCTGCTTATACCGCAAAGCATCTCAGATAAGAGTTATATGTACCTTCCTATCTTCTGCTAGTTGTGAAGCTTGTGATAATATCATACTGTGTTTCTGTAATGTTTGTTTTACTCCATGCACACATTTCTTTCTTGTCAGCATCTTACCTTCCTTTGAGATGCCCTAAGCAGGTGCTTAGTATGCTTAATGGCTAATGCGGTCCTGTCCTGTTGCCTAGATGCAGCCAATCACAGATTAGAGGACAGTTTTGTGGCTGATAAGGAGACACCACATCTGCCGTCTGGAGAATAATCAGGAGCAATTATTGGCATTTCGAAAGAGTGATAATAAAATAGTTATAATCCATTATTTGGTCTGTCTGGGAAAGAAAACAGAATATGCCATTTCCTGTTTGAGTTCACCTGGCCTATTTAATGGAAGATGGTGCGAGGATAAAATTGCAACATTAATAACAAGTTATGTTATCGTTTGTATTGTAATAAAAGAAGTTATAGTGGCATTTGAAACTGTAATAACTGAAGTTTGTCTGCTACAGAATAAAAGAAAAGAAATTATTGTTTGTCTGGAGTTATGGAAGTGTCGTTGTGTATGATTGTAATAGGAGAAGTTAAAGTCCAAAGAATCAACTTCATTGCGCTGGGTTTTATCACATCTGTCTCTGTCTCTCTCTCTCTCTCTCTCTCTCTCTCTCTCTCTCTCTCTCTCTCTCTCTCTCTCTCTCTCTCTCTCTCTCTCTCTCTCTCTTTGCAAAATGGTAAGCCGCATGCTGAGAGTGTCATACAGAGCACTATCACCGTAGCTTTGATGACAACCCACAAGAATCTGTAAAAATTGCACTTGGCAACGGAACTATGCAGTGATTAAATGAACTCACTATCTTCAGAACGCATAGCACCTTGACCACTTGGCCGCGGATACCTAACCCCGAGCCCGACCCCTCGCTTCCTCAAGTATAGTATGGGCAATGATTGTTTATTACTGTAGTGTTAACTTTCTCGTGATGTAATTGATAGAACACTTGGAAAACAAAACAACAGATGTAACAAGGTGCAGAAGTGAATCCAAGGCTGTAAATATGGAAGTAAAATGGGGGAAAAGGTTAGGGGGGGGGGAGGGTCCAAAGACTGTAGTTGATAAAGGTCACTTCTTCTTCTTCTTTTTCTTCTTCTTCTTCTTCTTCTTCTTCTTCTTCTTCTTCTTCTTCTTCTTCTTCTTCTTCTTCTTCTTCTTCTTCTGCGCGTTCGACATCAGTCATGCTAAACCTTGAGTCCCGTCTGGGTCACAAATAGGATTGTGCGTTTAAGGTCGCCACCGGTCCCACATAGCTTCTCTTGCAATGTGGCTTCCTTGGGCCAGATCCACAGTCTTTGCTGGGAGAGGTTAGGGCAGTACTGTAGTATGTGCCCAGGGGTCTGTCTTTCTGCTCCACAATCACAGGCAGCAGATTCTTTGATGCCTATCCTGTACAGGTGTGCTCGAAGACCACAGTGTCCAGTCCGAAGTCTAAAAATTGATGTTTGTTCTTTCCTGTTGAGTTTGTTTATGCTGTCACTCTCTGGTCTGTAATCTCCATTCTGCCTTCTCCACTCCCGCTTGAAAGACTGCTTTAGCGCTGTTTTGGTTTCCATGTAGCTATGTTGTGGATGAGATTGTGAAAGATTACTCCCAGCTTTTGCCAACTCATCTGCTCTCTCATTTCCTTGAATACCACAGTGGGCTGGTATCCACTGCAAGACCAGTTCTGCTTCCTTGGAGAGTAAGCCAATGTTGGTCCTTAGATCTGCAATTAGTTTGTCTTGTTTTTTGCTTGATAGTGATTGGTCACTAAAATGAAGGACTTATAATAAACAGTAGATAGTTTGAATATGTGAGGAGAAGAGATTGGGCTATCCTCCGGATAACGGTCCTAAATTATCGAGGCAGAAAATATAATACCCTAACAGGGTCTCAGTCACGTGTCAATTGCGCACTTTCGGGGACTATAACGCCACCACCGAATTCCAGCAACTTCCGCCACCGTCAAGAGTATCCCCACGCAGCTCACGCGGCGTGGATTGGGGTTAAACTAGATGGCTAGGACCCACGAGCAAATAAAATGAAGGAAGCTGCAGGAGATGGAGTAGCTGCTGCTCGTGAGTCCCAGCCATCTAGTTTAGCCCCAATCCACGCCGCGTGAGCGGTGGCGGAAGTCGCCGGAAGCGCGCAATTCAAGACGCCTTGATAATTTAGGACTGTTATTCGAAGAATAACCAGAAATTGACATATAGAAATTAATTTGTACATGCGAGGGAAAGGAGATACTTTTTAGTACGAGCTCATATATTTAAAGGAAAGGAAGGGCACATAGGCAATAGTTTGTACACATAAGGGAAATGTGCGGCGTATAGGCAATAGTTTGTACATATGAGGGAAATATTCATCATATAGGCAATAGTTTGTACATACAAGGGAAATGTGCAGCGTGTAGGCAATAGTTTGTACATACAAGGGAAATGTGTTGTGTGTAGGCAATAGTTTGTACATACAAGGGAAATGTGCGGCGTATAAGCAATAGTTTGTGCATATGAGGGAAATGTGTTGTGTGTAGGCAATAGTTTGTACATACAAGGGAAATGTGCGGCGTATAGGCAATAGTTTGTACATGTGAGGGAAATGTGCGGCGTATAGGCAATAGTTTGTACATATGAGAGAAATGTGGGGCGTATAGGCAATAATTTGTACATATGAGGGAAATGTGCGGCGTATAGGCAATAGTTTGTACATGTGAGGGAAATGTGTGGCGTATAGGCAATAGTTTGTACATATGAGGGAAATGTGCGGCGTATAGGCAATAGTTTGTACATATGAGGGAAATGTGCGGCGTATAGGCAATAGTTTGTTCATGTGAGGGAAATGTGCGGCGTATAGGCAATAGTTTGTACATATGAGGGAAATGTGCGGCGTATAGGCAATAGTTTGTTCATGTGAGGGAAATGTGCGGCGTATAGGCAATAGTTTGTACATTTGAGGGAAATGTGCGGCGTATAGGCAATAGTTTGTACATATGAGGGAAATGTGCGGCGCATAGGCAATAGTTTGTACATATGAGGGAAATGTGCGGCGTATAGGCAATAGTTTGTACATGTGAGGGAAATGTGTGGCGTATAGGCAATAGTTTGTACATATGAGGGAAATGTGCGGCGTATAGGCAATAGTTTGTTCATGTGAGGGAAATGTGCGGCGTATAGGCAATAGTTTGTACATATGAGGGAAATGTGCGGCGTATAGGCAATAGTTTGTACATATGAGGGAAATGTGCCACCTATGCGACTTACCACCATCTGTGACTTTCGACCCCCCCCCCCCCCCCCCCCCATGTAAATAAAGAAGGATAATTATATTTGGCAGGCTGAAAAAGTTCCGCAATATACGAGGCAATTTTCATATTTTCATATTACAGTAAAACTTCAAATAACCGTCACCGTCCGAGCCAGGGCTGTTTAAAGTTTTTAGTCGTTTCTATCACAACTTTCTGCCTTATGTACCTTTACTTATTTCTGAGACAGCACCTCTTTTCTGCCATGATTGCAAACAGTCCAGCATCTTCTTCTATGCCATGAAGCGAAACTGGTATGCATCTTTACTCATCTTCTCCCTCTAGCTCATTTAAATCCCATTTTCCCGTTGTTATGGAGTACCCAACTTTCCCTTTCTCGCGAGCTGACAAGATAATGCACAGGATGTTCCATAAGTATCCATACATAACTCCAGCTGTGTTTGTAAGTGATCTGATATATGTAAAAGTGGGTCAAAGTAATGTTTCGCTCCCGAGTTCCTGCCCATATACACACTAGCACACTTTTGATTGGCAGACCTTGAGCCACGTAACCTTAACACAAGGTTACTGGGGTGTTCAGCAATGCCGTTGATATTGCATGTTGTATATGTCAGTACGACAGCGCTTTTAACACTCCAAAAACATAAACAAACTGGGTCAAACACAATTACCCTAGAGAGTGCTGCAACCTATGTCACAGGCATTCTCTTTCTCGAAATAAAAAAGTAAATGCAAGACAACCAAGAAAGCAAACAGAGCGGCACACCCTTATCCTGCAGGAAAGTAGACCAGCCCGACAAACTTTTGAATGAAACATGACCTACTTTGTTTGGGGAGACTAACTTAAACCTTACCTAAAATTTTAAAATATATATTTTAATTTCCTACGTACTGAAACTCACCGAGTGTCGATTGGTCTAAAACATATAGGTCCAGCCCTCTATGCTCAATACGTCTGAAGACATGGGGAAATGGTCCTTTCACACCCTGTAGATTGTCTCCTTCTGATAGGGTAATCAATTCTTTCCGTGAGTTAGTCTCTTTCAGTGCATCTTCAGTAAGCTGTTTATCTGCCCGTTGTGTTCTTTTCATTCTTCTGTAAAACCACATCTTTGCAGTTTCCGCATATTTCATTCATCGGCTGGCTGTTCCAATTGACTTCAATAGATCACGATTACTGAATATATAGGTCTACTATTTATTTTCTTTAAAATGTACATTTAGTTGGGCTACCTCGCATTGAGGCAAAGTTTCCGCGTCGAGTGCTAGAGGTTCCGGGTTCAATTCCCGGTAAGGGCTGGGTATTATTCATGTGGACTTAGACTGATAGTAATTTCCTGATTTCTCTGATCTCTGGGTAGTGAAATCGGACGTGCGCGTGAATTGTTGTGCACGTAAAAAATCCCTTGGCAGTAGGAAATAGAAAATAGTAGCCTAACGGCGCTGCCCGGGCAAAATTTTGAGTTAAAGATCTACCCAAAGTATTTCAGGATCCTCGCCGGTGCTAAAAGCCTGTGCACTGTGCTGAGCTTGAGTTAGA